TAAAAATATTTCCATTTTCTTTGGAACAGATGGCTGGAGAGGTTCACAAGCCCAGACTAAATGCACTTTAAGCTTCTGATTCTTCTTTAGAATCCCTTTGTTGAAATGGCTGAGGAAATGGTGCCTTGATTCACTCACAACACTAGTGTGGTCGTTATTTGCATGTGAGGTGGCACACTGCTTCCCAGAATCCCTAAGGGGCTGTATGTTGCCCCTACACCACCACATTTGGTGTCATACTACTAAATTGGACTGACATAGTAGCAGAACCGCCCCCCCCAAACACATTTTCATTTGAGAACCAGGCGTGCTGAGAATGTGTGCCTTGTCTTGAAACACATTTATGATCTCAAGAGTCTCTCAGGAGCGTGATTCTGTTTTAAAACATGGCATGTGCTCCCTGTGAAGCATCTTTTTGGAAAGAAAATGTGTAGTGTTTCTTATTCCACCATTGACAACTTTTGGCAGTGCCCCAGCAAATTTCATAGGCTATGTTTTGTACCTCAGCTGTTTGTACAAGAGTAGGATGACTGAAATCATTAATGCATTGAGAAAATTACTTTAAATTACTTTCATTACTGAAAGTTAAAAAAAATCCAAGGTGTGCCTCTGCTATTTGTCTGTTTTGATTATAGTTTTAAAAGCAATTCTTTCCTTCCCATGTCTCAAAAGCTGAGCCTGGAATATTGGGTTTGAAAATTAATTAGTTAAATATCAGAAATTGGGAAGTTAATTTGTTGTAAACTGAAGACTGAAAACAGGGAGAATTATGAGGGAAGCTACTAAGCAGTAGAACATCTAACCAACCATGTTTTGGAAACTTTTAAATGTTCCAAGGGAAATTCTCTTTCAATACATGCACTAGAAACAGTCATTTCCATGTTAATTTAACACTGTTTTCCCATATAGCCAGGGAGCGGGGAAGCACTGAATTAACATGAGAGCTATGCCTCCCAACACATCTTGTGACAGTGAATCTCATGACAGTTCCAAAGTGGTGTCTTTCAACTATATAAATTACAGTTTCAATAGAAGTGCAGTGGAATTTTGTTACAATGTGAGAGAAAACAAAGGCATCTGTGAAACTTAATTACATATATGCTTCACCACAAGTGCTGGTTCTATTCCAGAGGTATCTGGGAATTATATAACAACAGTGTTAGAGGAATAGGTTACATTGCAATGTTAATAGAGGTCCATCGTAGGTGCCTGGTGGTGGAAAAAGAGCAATGCAGATGGAAGAGGAATAGGTTACATTGCAATGTTAATAGTCCATCGTAGGTGCCTGGTGGTGGAAAGGGAGCAATGCAGATGGATGCAGAACAGGATTGATAAAATAGCTGATATGAGAAACAAAGGCTGAGGGGTGATATGATAGCACTTTCCAAATATTTGAAAGGCATACAGAGGAGGGGCAAGATCTATTCTCAATCATCCCAGAGTGCAGGATGTGCAACAATGGGCTCAAGTTAAAGGAAGCCAGATTTTGGTTGAATAGCAGGAAAATCTCCCTTAACCGTTAGAGCAGTACAACAGTGGACCCAGTTACCTCGGGAGTTGGTGAGTTCTCCAACACTGGAGGCATTCAAGAAAAACTTGGATAATCTCCTGGCAGATATGCTTTGGTTGGACTTGATGGCCTTGTAGGCCCCTTCCAACTTCACTTTTCTATGATGCTATGATGACAGGACTCATTGTTTTACTCTCAAATGTCAGATCAGAGAGGCAGCAAATGGGTACTTTAGTTAAGAAATAAACACACACAGAGAACTTAATTTCACAACTTGAAGCTGAACTATAGTTCTGCCACCTCAGTTGGCTCCCTATTGTTCGAAACTGCGTCATTCATCTTCATGGCAGGTCTGGTCTTGTTGTCCAGTATTGGAAACATTGTCTGAGACTCAGAGTTTGGCACCACAGATGAATGGCGACTAGGTTGCAGATGCTGGAATGCCAGGTGAGCTGCCAAGAACTGGCACATTTTTACAGGTCCTCTGTTGGAGGAGGCATATCTCAGGGCAAGCAGCAGTAGAAGAGATGGTGGTCTGATTTCTGTGTACATGGGAGATTTAAAATCTGGCCACTTGTCTCCCCAAATTTCCACTTGCCACTAGGGTTCACTTGGTCAGTGTTTGTAACTCTGTTGCTCCAAATAACAAAAGGGCCCGAGTACATGCACCCACTGGCTTCATCCCATGTTCTCTGCCTTTTTCACTTGGCTTTTTGGTGTGTCAACATGGGGGGGGGGCTTGTGCCATTTGCAGCAAGCTAGTGAGTGGAGCACCTGTGTCACAACCCATCTTTTTGTTGCATAAGCCCTGGTGCAAAGTCTGCAGAAAAATTTTGCCATCACAGGGGTGCACCCCCTGGTTTATGGTTTTGACTATGAAACCTAAGGGAATGGGATGCTGTTGATCTGAGGCCTTCATGTGTCTGGGATGTCCTGGAGTTAAAGCAATCTCCAGTCACCCTTGATAAGTACCTCCAGCTTAGACTGACCCCAAAGGACCATAATAACTCTCAGAGGTCCTTGGCTTGCATATTAATCTTAAAGACTATTTAGGATGCTTTCATTGCTCACCCATGTGTACTAGCAGGAACCCAGTGGTACTGATTGTCTTCATTGATCTCATCCTTCCTGTTCTTGGTTGTTGTGCATTCCCCTGACAAATTCCCGGGTCATGTCCTGAAACATGCTGAGCTGTTTTGTTGTATTTCTCTGGTATTTATTAAAATGATGGAAACTGGAGGAAGTATGGAAGTTAAGGAGTCTCACTGAGGTTTAGTTGAATATACTATTACTAATTATAAATAGGATAGAAAAAACAGTAAATATTGTTTTTTTTTAGTTGATAGCTTGCTTTTCCTGATGAAGATGACACAGAATATTGCCATTGAAAGCTTGGACTATTTTAACAATAAAGATGTAGTAACATGACTGGAAACCTGTGAGTTGTTTACAGTAAATATTGCCAACTTCAAGTGTGTAGCATACCCAGAGTGCCCAGGAGAAAAAGGTTTTAAAACTAGAGTTAGAATTGTGCCATTCTTAAATGGGTTGGACAGTCATGGACAACCCATGGCCATGGGCTCCATGGTCACCCACCCATTTCTTTCAGTTTCTGTCCCCTCCCTATAGATCTGCCTCTCCGAAAGAGTGTCCGTGTGTGGGAAGTCCACTTTCCCAAAAAGGAGAATTGCCACCCCTGGAAGCTTCCAGAAGTAGTGTTTTTCCTTTAAAGGAAGGCATCGGATCCTTGCTTTTGCATAGGAGTGGCAGTAAAGCTTTCCTACTTTTTTTCAGAATCAGAAATGAATTTCCAGTCACTTCATTTTGAAAAGAAATCAACAAATGTGCAGTTTCTGAGGGGATGCAGCAAAATTGGTTCCTATATCTGTCAAAGTTGCTTACCTCTGGCATTAACTATGTACTATAACTATGGACTATGGACTTTAACTATTTGGAAAGCCTGTAACTCAGATGGTGAGCAGTGTAATAAATACCACAGTTAATGTCATCCATCCAGTTACTCAAATAAATTCAGACTTGTATTCGGAAAAATGTTAGTGCACCTTCAATGAATGAATAAATAATTTTCCTGGAAGGAATTTATATATGTAGAAGAATGGGAAAATGTATTCCATCCAGAGGGTATCTCTAATACTGACACAGACTCTACAGTTATTTCACCTCCTTATATATTTCTAGTAATTATTCTGCTGGGAGGAGAGCAATATCCCTAACAAGAATTGTTAGCTGAGCTCTATCGCCATCTGTATTCCTCAAGATTCATTTGAGCAAGTCATGGTAGCTGAACATACAGTAAGTCATATAAATGGGCACTGTAGATACACTTTCAGTGTTCTCTATGAACTATTCATCCAACACTGTTAAAAATGATCTTGAGTAGGGGAGTAGAAATGTTTGTCAGCAATCTCATGACAAAAATTATGGCCATAAAAACTTTGGAGATGTGACATAGAGAAAGCAACCAGATGGGTTTTCTCCCAATATGACTGCGTATTTATCCAGTAAACCATACTGCAGTTATTAACACTTTACCCACCAGTAGATGATCCCTGCTAGTACATAGAGTGGAACAGGAAAGAGCATGATTAGTGCAGATAGAACAGGAATGATAAACTCTTGTACTAGTGGATTAATCATTTGTGTGGTACCTGCCAAATGCTTTGTTCTAATGCTGCATGATAAAATGAGCCAGGAAGAAAGCTGCATTGGGTGAGTCAACTCTGTAGTTTACAAATGATGCAAAATCCTACAATCACAGCAATTTAACCATCACTTGGGGGTTCTGCTTGTGGACCTGGAGTTGAATTAACATTCCGCACCTTCTGTCACAGTTTTAAAGGCTTTGTTGTCAACATTTGTGCACGTGCAAGAAGGCCTGCTGGGCTGAGGACATCTTCCAAACCACAGAAATTGATTGCCACATGAAGGCATTTAAAAGACTTGTAGGAGCCATGGGGGAAGGGGCATCTTGAGAAGGGGAGAGTTATCCCTGACATCTTTGTCTGGAATCAATTTAACCCTGGGGGTGGGGTTTCCTCACACCTGTTTAGAAGTTTATTTCTATGTAGCTTACAACCACCAGTGGTCAAATGGGTGTTTTGAGTTATTACTGTTGATCAAGATTTATACAAAATCCAGATCCTCTTAGATGATTAGTCAATGTTTAAGATACTGGACAGATGAGCTAGAGATTGTAGAACATTTGTTTAATCTCAATCTCCAGTTAATGATACTCTTGTCCTTGTGCTTTCCCCCCCAGTTTAAGGAAATAACATATTCTAACTGGGAAAACTATTTAATTTATTGTCATAGAAATCCTTGCAGGCTAGCATAATGTTCCCTTGTTTTGAATGAAGCGTGAAAGGCTAACATTCCAGTCTCTTAAACCTGAACTCAGTAGCTTATTTCCACAAAAAGACTTGGCATCTTTCCCAGACATCAGATAGGGTCAAAGGTTTGTTCCTTTAGCAGTTCAGCCTCTTGTCACAACCTTAGTTCAAGGGCAGAAGTGAGGTGATAGAAATGTTGTGTTTTAGCAACTCCTTTGCTCCAAATCAAAGAACGGTGGAGGCTCCAGGGCCTGCAGCTCCTGCCCCTTTGTGACGGAAAAGGCCTGTCCAGAAGACCAAAGAGGCTGCTGTGTAAGAGGTGCCCTCTGTAACAGAAGAGTCTGCAATGCAGCATCTATAAAAGAAGAGATTGCTTCCAGCTTTTCACTTTGCCATCTGCAGTGACTGCCTGGAGACTGTATCTTGCCGGAAAGTGAGAAGAACCTTTTTTCATAAGGTAAGGTTGGTTCAGTTAGATAATCTAATTTATCTTCCACTATTGAACTATCCAAACCCCTCAAAGAGATTAAACAAGCAAACCACACTAGAGCAGGCTGGTGTGTTTTAAAGAATGGTGTAGGCACATTTATGTTAGAAATATTTCTTAATATGATTCAGAACCAGCTCTGGGTCCGTAATGGAGTGGAAGGTCCTCCACCATGTTCAAATCAAATATATCTGATCTTCTCCAGGGGAGGAAATATTCTCAGATTTATAATGAGAGTTGGACACAAATAAGAAAAATGGTGTTTCATTTTGATTTGTGATTTGTCAAGGTAGATGAATTATGAATTTAGGATTTTTTTCTGACAAATTTATGAATCAATATTCATTTTTTTTACTTTACATTCCTATAAAACAGCTCCACAAGAACCTAAAGGCACCAAAATTGCAGGGAAGCTTCCCCTGACTCTCCTCTACAAAACCCCATAAGTCTGGTGAAGTTTGGGTTTTGAGTTATACACCCACAAATTGGTTTCCCCCAGGAAAATGCCCTCTACCAGCTGGCTTGGGGAAACCCAATCTTCAGCAAGCTTGGATCAATTGTAGAGGAGAGTCAGAGGAAGCCTCTTCAATTTTGGTGTTGGTGGGTGCCTGGGCGGCTATTTTATAGCCAAACAAATTGATGAATCAAATATCAGTAAAAATTCATTGATTTGTATTTCTTGGGGACATTGATTTGTACCAATACAAACTGAGCAGTTTTTGAATGAATGTGGTGATTTGTTTTTTAACTTATGCCCATCTCTGTTTACAACAATAGGAGCCTGTGGGTTGACACTCAATTTTTATCAGACTAACTATCACACAAGACATGTAAAATGTAGTAAATATATTCAAAACAAGACATTGGTTTATTTTCTGTTAGTGAATATAGCAGACCCAGTCCAATGTTTATTAATTTATCTTACTTAAAATATTTTTACCCTGCCTTTATCCTTAAAATGACCTAGACTGTATTAGCTAATATTAGCAATATAGGGTTGCTGGGTCTCATGGTTTCAGCTCTGGGCCCAGAGAATTGTTATGTTTCTTTCAATCCCCAGCAAGGAGACAGATCTCACACTGAGTAAAACCAAAGGAGAGAACGTTGGGGTAATGGGTGTAAATTGACCTTAAAATCTGACCACCCATTTCTACCCATTCCTGCCTAACATTAGGACTCACTGGCTCAGCTTGAAGGTGTTTGTATACTGTATATGTTTTCCTTGCACAGTGTAGGTGTACCAAATAAACAGGAATGAGGGAAGGGGGCTGCAAGCCAATAGATGCTGCTTGGGTGCAGCATGACATTTGGCATAAGGAAGTGAATAGAGCACCAGGGACATTAGGAATGAGGCTTGCAGTTGTAACACCAAGGCTGCAGAACCAAATGAAGCAAAACAAAAACCTCTCCATAGACTAGCACTGAGTCTCCCTCAGGCTCCAGCCCCAGTGTCAGACCTAGATAAACTCCATATATCTCGTTTATACTTTTGGTAAGGCCATGCAAGATGTGAGCCCTAACAAGGATGGTGGCAACCACTACAGCTACCAAGTGCATTTTGGTGCCTGCTCAACTACCAGACGTGGTGATGCTGCGACCGTGGTGGCGCTGTGGGCTAAACCGCAGAAGCCTGTGCTGCAGGGTCAGAAGACCAAGCAGTCATAAGATCGAATCCACACAACAGAGTGAGCTCCTGTCGCTTGTCCCAGCTCCTGCCAACCTAGCCGTTCGAAAGCATGCAAATGCAAGTAGATAAATAGGGACCACCTCGGTGGGAAGATAACAGCATTCCGTGTCTAAGTCGCACTGCCCATGTGACCACGGAAGATTGTCTTCGGACAAACGCTGGCTCTATGGTTTGGAAACAGGAATGAGCCCCCTAGAGTCAAACATGACTGGACAAAAATTGTCAAGGGGAACTTTACCCTTTACCAACTACCAGAAAGTTGGGTTTCCCCTCTAGTTATGATTTGCAGTATTAGGTGGTTAGCCAAATTTAATCTGGGTTCCAGACTCATTCAGCCAGAGTCCCTTTTGCCTGTTTCCATTAGCAGCTGCCCCAGAAATAGTTCTGACCATCATCACAAGGACCCTCCTCTATGACATTACATTTTGACCCCAAAATCTGAGGGAACAGGATGTTCTGCAGACCAGTTAACTCTTATGATCTTCTTGTGAACTCATTTATTGTGTTTTTTATCCCTTCTAGACCAGACAAGCAGTAATACTTACAGTTGTATTACTACTGTCTTTTCCTGCTTTGGGATTGGTAGGTTTTTGTTTAATTTTTGAATCAAATGCTTACCATTCATAATGTTACTAATATATCTTCCTAGAAGAATTTTGCATTTACAAAAAACAAACCAACCCACAAAGTAACAAATGAACTTTAAGCAAGTAATTAAACATGTGGTACATTAGTCAGGGAGAATAACAAGCAAACAGGGAACCTTGAATGGATGAGGCTGGTGCACAAGGTCAGTTTGGTTGATCACACTTGGCAGAATGAACAAAGGTCACAGAATTGTTGACACTGATCAGGAAGAACGAAGAACCTATTTATATGATATGCTCCTCCCTTGCTCTATTTATTGAAACTCTTCAAACAAACTCTTTAAGCATTTAAATCTTTTCATTAAAATAAATGGGATTTAATAGCTGAATTGTTTTCAACCATTAGAATTGTTAGGTTGGAGCCAAGCGAGCATATCAGGCTGGTGAAATTAGACTCCACCCCCTGCTTCCAATGGCAGATCCTCTATCTCTCTCAAAAGCTAGGCAAAGAGTCATGATAGGATGCCTAAAGATCGCTAATTTGAAAAACTACTGGATTTTTTTTAAAAAATGTTTTGATTTTTTATAGTTGAAATGCTTTTTATTTTAATAAAAGATTTAGGTTTTTTTAAAAAATAAAATATAGCTTTAAAGCCTCATTATGGAACAGGGTTATAAATTATAATTTTTATTATGAGACAGTGCATTCATATGCTGATTTTCTAAAGTTTGTAAGTCAGGTCCAGTGGTTCTTGAACAAGGCCATCAACTGTATGGAATTCCACAGGCTTCTGTATGAATTATTTATTTATATTTGCCCTAGCAAGTATCATCAGAAAAATCTGTAGTTCTCAAACTTGTTTCATATCTCCAGAAAAATAAAATTGTTAATAACAGTATATGGAGATGAGAAATAACACCTATTTTCCAACACTGATGAAAAGTTATTCCTGTAGCTCCCCCCACAAAGTAATATAATGGGAATTCTTAAAAGCCCTATTGAAATGTCCAGAATTGTTTTCAATAGTTTCCTTGAATTGTGCTTATTCTTTTAGAGTGGCTAAGCTAACAATAAAAGGTAAAGGTAAATGTTCCCCTTGACAATTTTTGTCCAGTCGTGTTCGACTCTAGGGGGTGGTGCTCATCCCCATTTCCAAGCCATAGAGCCAGCGTTTGTCCGAAGACAATCTTCCGTGGTCACATGGCCAGTGCGACTTAGACACGGAACACTGTTACCTTCCCACTGAGGTGGTCCCTATTTATCTACTTGCATTTGCATGCTTTCGAACCGCTAGGTTGGCGGGAGCTGGGACAAGCGACAGGTGCTCACTCCATCGCGTGGATTCGATCTTACGACTGCTGGTCTTCTGCCTCTGCAGCACAGGTTTCTGCAGTTTAGCCCACAGCACCACCACGTCCCCTAAGCTAACAATAGTCCCTCTGCAATTCTGGGTAGACAAATTCAAGCCCTTGATTCTCTCTCTGAAAGTGCAAACTTTGACACTCTGTAGGTTTCAATTTTTTATAAAAAGATTGCAAAAGTGTTCTATTCTGACACTATGTTCTTCACCAGATTGACTCTCAGTGGTGGTAGGCATCTCAATAAACTGACAGAGACATCTTTTTATATCTATGTATCTTTTCTTCCACTTCCTTTTTTGCCATTCTGGATGCCGCTACACAGCATGAAAAATGTGCATTGAAAAAATATGAAATCGCACCTGAGAAGTCAGATTTCCCCAGGTAAATTGCATTAACTGGCCATACAGGGAGAGTGGAAAAAATTTACAAACAGCTTTGTTTGCACCTTATTAACATCCTGTAGCTTTCCTCTAGGCTTCTTGTAGGAGGCACAGCTACAAGAGAGCTACTTTAAATGGTTGCAAACAAGGGCTGAGTAACAATTTCCTTTTCTCTTTTCTCTAAAATGTGTGTGTTAGGGTGTGTGTATGTACATGCCCTAGCTCAACAGCACTGCTACCAACCCTTTAAAAAACGCAAATGGCTTTATTTGCAAAGCTCCAGCTCTCCCAGTGTTTTAACATCCCCCACCGCCCGCTGCTGTACCATCATGCCAACCACCAGCAGCCCTGCACACACTTTTTCCGAATCAGATTGAACCAATTTGACTGGAACTGATGGCAAAAGAAGACGAAACTCTAGAGATAGGGGAAGACGCTGTGAATTTGGAGGAGGGGGAGTATGGGCTGATTCATATTGGCTTTTACATCATGCTGTCAATGGAAAAAATATGATTCATACTGTCCCAGTCCCATAGCATCTCCCACATCATTTGTCAGTGTTGTTACACACACTCTTGCACTACCCACCCAACCTCATATTCAGTTTTTCCATCAGCATAATGTGCACTTTTTGGAGGTTACATCTTACTTATTTTTCCAATAGACATCTTTCATGCTGCTGCAGATCTAAGGGTCTTCTGATGCCTCTGTTTTGTGTATCATAGCAACCATTATTTGACTTCTTAACTTTAATTTATAATTTTAAACTTTTTTTTTGCATGGCTTGAAAGGTGCAGATGTTTTACTTTCAACCCCACTCTCCTCCTTTCCTAGATCTTATGTGGACCAAACACATTCTTTGGAAGAAAGAAGACAGGTGAACAGATAGAAGACTCAAGCTGTGGGACTTTGAAGTTGGCCAGACAAAATTGAAAAGGTGTGTGTGAAGCAGGTGTTACTAGGGAGCAGCAGAGAAGAGGGGTTTAGGAAGTCAACCAGGGGATGAAGAAGGTGGTTGGAAAATTGAGATTTTTTGGGGGAAACCAGCTGGAATTAGAGAAAAGAAGAGTTTAGGGAAAGCAGGGAAATATTACAGGGCTGAGACCAATTACGGAGGAAGAAGAGAAGACTATTAAGAGAACTGAAGAAACCAACAAAGGACAAGGCAAAAGAGGAAGTGATTTGTGAAGGCCAAAAGATTGTGGGAAACATGGAAATATTAAGTTTGGGGAGCTCCAAGACTGGAAGAAAGAAAAAGAAAAACAGGCAAGAACATGGGGCAGAGAAGAAACGTGGCATGTGAAAGTTACTGAGGGTGGTGTGGGCCAGAGAAAAGGACTGCAGCCAAAACTATGCTCACGACCCAGGGTTCAATCCCAGGTAGCCGGCTCAAGGTTAACTCAGCCTTCTATCCTTCTGAGGTCGGTAAAATGAGAACCCAGCTCGCAGGGGGGGGGGCAATGTGTAGTCTGCATAATTAACTTGTAAACTGCCCAGAGAGTGCTTGAAGCGCTATGGGGCGGTGTATAAGCAGCATGCTTTGTTTTGCTTTGAGGGAAACAATGCAGGCCAAGGATGGAAGAAAAAGAGGCCTGGGAATGTCATCCAGGACCAAGGAAGACTAAGAGGGTATTTAGGAAAGGTAGAGAGGTGAGGAAGAGAGACTAAGTTGGGAAAACCAAAAAGACTGGCAGGAGAAAGAAGGAACATTGGGAAGCATTAACAGAAGTTGAAGGGAGGAGAAGGGATTGGGGAAACCAGTGGGGAGAAGGAGGAGGAGAAGTAAGGAGTTGAAGAAACTCACAAAGGTGGGGGGGGAGGAGGGTTGGGAAAGCCAAAGGAGAGAAACTGAAGTAAACAATTTATGATGCTCAATCTGTTGTTGGACTAGTATTCTCTCCAGCCCTTCTGTTGGCTTTCTATAGTCATTGGCTGTGATGGCTCGGGTGTGATGAGAGCTACAGTATAACATCACATGGGTCACATACTATCAACATGTGTTGGATGGAAAATGTATATGTGATCAGTGCATGATCAGTGAGTGGAGTGTGTGGCTGTGTATCTGAATAAAGGTGAGAATACAAGAGACAGTTTAGTGGTGATTGTGGTGGAGAATAGGAAATGTGCGTGCTCTGGAGAGAGGATCCAGATAAAGAGTTGATCATGGGAATATAGGATTCTTTGCACAAATTAGCCATGTGGGACTGAGGATTTCTATGTCCTGATAATATGAGTTGTGCAACAACTAAGCTTGGGATGTTGTTTTTAAGAGGTAATGTATTTTTTTAATTGCCATCTTTATTCACCACATAATTTACTAAAATCTTATTTCCGAAATAATTTGTAGTTCCGTGTTTAAACCTTTAAAAAATATGAAAATAGCCCTAGTTGGCCAAAATTCAACACAAATTGATTTCCCCAAAAGAATATTTTAGAAACGGTGAGTAAACATTACTCATTGCACACAAACACACATCTATCCCAAAAAATCCACACAAGATGATTTCCCCTCAAAACAACATTTTGGATTAATTTATTTTAGGAAATTAATTTTAGGAAAAAAAAATAATTAGAGGCGACTCAGTGAAACTGGCGTGTCCTTCTGTTAAATAGGTGTTTTGCTGCAGTGGAAATGAATGGGTTCAGCTCCTCCTGTGGATTGGAAAAAGTATGCTTGTGTCTTGCCTTCAGTTTTTCATTCTATAAAAGGAGTGTTAGGTTGCAGTAGTATATTGTGTAATTGCTTATGTCCATTGCTGTTGTGTTGTGACACTTGTCTGATGGCTATTTTTGGCAGCGTGAACATCCAAATATGTCCATGTGCCCCAAATTATAGGAAATGTTTGCATTATGCCATTGTTTTGCATAAGCCTATGAGAATTCATAGGTTTTAGCATCACCATCATCCAAAGAATGTAAAATGTTCAACCGGAGAGAGACACGCTGTCCAGTTTATTCTAAGCTTCCCTTCTCACTACTTATAGCTTAGTGTGAACCAAACTGATAATGAGCAAAAGAAATAGAGCTCTTTCTGTAAAATCAGGATGATGAGTGAATGTTTTTTCTTGAGACAGGGCTCTGAAAAGCATAGCTGTCCCAGCTACAGTGGGACACCAGAAGGCTACGTTATACCATAAAAGTCTGTTCAAAGATGGTTGCAGACACTTTTCCTCTCTATTCTGATACTGCCATTCCCCAGTGAATCATGTTTTCCATGAGAACCTGATCACATGGAGGTCTGGCATGACTGTTACCAGTTAGGGCTGTACACAACAGTTTATGTGGGTGATTTTTTTTTTATGTGACAGAAAGGAAGGGCCTTGTGCTGCTGCTTTACTGCTGTTTAGCATGCTGTTTCCATGCCTCCTCAGCTGGTTGAAGGAACCAGGGTCCCGTTAAGGAGAAAGCATTTTAGCAGGAATGTGTTCAGTTCAGTCAGCATCCCTTTGGTATGATGCCCTGTCGAAGAAGATTTTGCTTGTGTTTGTCAAAATGAAGCAAGGTCTTTATGAAAATGTGCTTAATTAATCTTCATGGTTTATAAGATAAAGTAAGTTTTCACATAGCAGTTCTTTCCCATTATGTAAAACTTTTGAGGAATTTGGGGTAGCCACTTACTATGTAAGCTTTGGTGACCCCCGTAGAACAGACCCGCATAGCATATTGCTGCTGGGTCATAAGGAGTCATGGGAGCAAATGTATTAAGTAGCCTGCAAGGTGCTTGACAAACATCCTGTTCCGATGCCCAAAAGATCTACAAATAGGTGAACTATTTAGACCTGGCCTTAACAGTCTTTCACCTCCATGTGATATATAAGTGGGAGTTCATTTTTAAGATTCTAAATCCTACAGAATTTTAAATTTGAAAACCAGTCAGAACAGTATAAACATAGGGACATTCCATACATTATATTAAAAAAGGACTTATAAATAATTTATATGAAAAACAATCTGCCTATAAGTACTTTCCAACACCTTTGTGTGTGTGTGTGGGGGGGGCTTTTTGTTCATGCACAATTTACCAAATCTTAAATGTGCACCTTTGAAAAGAGTCTGGGTGATTGGACCCTAGGATTTTATATCTTATGTGTTTTCATTCTTCAGAATTTGCTATGGCATTGGCTTGGAAGAACACCCAAGAATTCTACTACTGGGCCATTGAAAATGGAGGTAGGTAAACTCATTAGCTGACACACTGGCCCAGTCCCTCAGTTCCAGTACCCTGCCTTTTCTTTCCCTCCCTCTCTCTCTCACAGACTATTACCAGAATATAATTTCTTTGAACGTGTACTACAAATGTGAAGTAATATTATAACAAAGAGAAGTTGTCAACTAGAGATGACATATTCGTATTTGTATCCCTGAAGATTCCCCAGAAATGGCTGGTCCACATATTGCTCACCATGCGGCAGACACAGCTGTCATCATATGCATTGTGTCAATTACAGAAGTAGCCTGGCTGGCACTTCCCTGCCTTCCTGCACAACCACCACTCCAGTGAGGCGGCAGGATGACAAGTCTCCCCGCTCAGCTGCTGAGCAGTTGGCTGTGTGCAGAGTGGGCTACTTCCGTGATTGTTGCAATGTGCGGTGAGCGGTAAGTGGACTGGCTGGTTCTTGGGGGGAGGCTCCAGTTTTCCCAGGCACCTGTGGTGCCGATATTTGTATTCATATTCCCAGAGGTTAAACAAAAAGAGTTCAGTTTGAGGGAGGATGTGAAGGAACTGTCATCACATAATTATTCACTGAAGGAGGGGAGAGGACAGGACTGTAAGAGGGGAGGGAGGATGTGAAGGAACTGTCATCACAGAAGGAGGGGAAAGGACAGGACTGTAAGAGGAAAAATGGATATTAAGGTCTGTATGAGACGATCAGGAAACAGTCAAACTAGATAGTAGGTTTACCAATATTTTGCAAAGAGTCTTCCTCAGGTTTTGAAAGATATTTGTCATATCGCCATATCATGATCTTCATCACCTATGCATCTAGTGTTTAGTGTGCTTTATTTTGTGATCCTCAGGTTTTGAAAGATATTTGTCATATTGTGATCTTCATCACCTGTGCATCTAGTGTTTAGCATGCTTTATTTTGTGTTTGTTCATTGGTAGATAAGCATGGGCTTAATCCTGAAGTCTCACCATTGGGGCACATAAATCTGAGGAAATTTTTGTGGAAACGGGGCTAACTGAAAATGTGTCAACCATGAACATATGCAACCCTCTTAATGTCTAAGTGTGTTAGAGTTGAAGGGAACAAATATTACAGGCAGAGAAGTAAAGGTAAAAGGAAAGGGAGGGGCGAAGAAGCAATAAGGAAGGGAGCAGTGGAGAAGAATAGCAGAAGAGAGGGCTGGGGCAAATCTGTAGGGAGCTGTGATGGTAAGATCAAAACACTGGTGCAGAATGAGAGATTAAGACCAGGTTTCTCTTTCATCACTTCTGAATTTATCAATTTAAAGAATTTTTGATATCATTGTTCATCTGAAAATGCTTCCCAAAGCCCTTGAAGAAAAAGAAAATGTAACAGTTCATGGCAATTCCTCTTATTATCTTTGTATTTTGGTTTCCAGATCCAAGGACAGATCCCTGGCCACTGGTTTACTCTCCAGTTCCAGTCATTCTCATCTTTATTCTGTACCTCATCATTGTGGCAGTAGGGCCCCGTATTATGCAGCAGAGGAAGCCACTGAGGCTGAAGGGCTTCCTTGCGATTTATAACCTGTCAGTGGTGCTGCTGTCAGTGTATATGTTCTACGAGGTAAAGAAGTGTAAGTTCCTTCAGCCCTTTATCTCTGTGTCAAGGATGCAAGACACCTGTCCTATTAATAGTTGTCCCTTTCTAACAACCATTGCTCTTATTATTATAGTATCAATGTCAAGCTAACTGGGTAACCCAGTGCGTTAGTTTGGAAGTTCAGTTCCCCACTCTGCGCCTCAAAAGCATCAGCCTGTGTGGCCTTGGGCAAGCTGCACAGTCCAAGGATGCTCCCAAACTCTTCTGAGTATTCTTTAGCTAGAAAACTCTGAAAAGGGTCACCATAAATCAGAATTGACTTGATGGTGTAGAATTATTATTATCAGTGTGATCTGCACACACAGCAGATGACTTTGCATCCCAAAGGGTGTATATCCAAAATCACTGGGCTTTGTCTTGCTTTAGTCAACTGGAGCTTTCTGCTTTTCAGGGATATTAAGACATGTGGCATCCGCTTTTAGGTCTTAAGCCGCAAAAGGCTATTTCTTTCTTTCTCTCTTTTTTTTTGAGTGCAAAAAGGATTAGTGAAAGTTGAGATTCTTTCCTCTTCATCAAGGATGCACAAGATAAAATTTAGAAAAATCTTTACAGTGTGATTATTGTTAAAAATAGGTATATTTCTTTGTATTCCATGTGTGCCACCACTTTGTGTGATATAAGATGGATGTTGTGGCCATATATTACTCATCTTTTTGCCTACTTCTGTAAATCAATACAAATTGATTTAATAACATACCACTGGAAAAAATGTCTTTAGGAGAATACAGCAAGCTAAAAGTGAAACTCATGTTGGTTAAGCTTGAGCTAAGAAGAGGATCATTTATGAAATTACCATTGGATTACACAACTATACCCTCATAGAAACCATATTTGCCTTATTCTAGAAAGGGTGAAATAATATGGTTGACTATATCATTTCAGATGCCACATGTAACAGGAGAGTAGAGACATTCCTTGCAATAATGTTTTCTTCCTGTCATCCTTTCCTTCTCAGTTCCTGATGACATCACTCTTGGCCAACTACAGCTATCTGTGCCAACCAGTGGACTACAGCTGGAGTGATCTTGGAATGCGGGTACAATGCAGTTATTGACCAGAGCTAGTCTTATACCCCTTGCATAGCTGTAGACAAAAAATGTTTATTGAATTCTCTGGTTGAAAACAGCTACTTCTTCACACTGTTTGTGTCTCTGTGTGTGGGGGGGGTGGGGGGGGTGATCATCATCACATTTTCATTTTCTTCTTTTGTGGTGACTATCCAGCAAATCCATTCTGAAGTAATGTCTTAATATGGAAGGCCCATTGGAGGTCTGAAGTCTGAGGTCTTTACTGGTCCCCAAAATTCTGTCTGAGGGCATGGTCACATGATGGGATTGTTGCCTACCTATGCCCAAGTTAGATCGTAGCATAAAGTTGTGGCCACACAACACGCAGTCCTTAGTGATTCATTTTACTAGCCAGTGCCAGGAGGCTTCCCACTCTCCAGAAGGCTTCTGATTTTTTGTTCTGGTGGCATTTTGATATGTTTATTAGCATGATGGCATCTGTGTACAATCTTATTGATATTTTTTTGAAACAAATTCACCAGGAAAGACAGCTGCCATTACTACTGTATATTATAAAAATATAAATAGTGGGATGTTCATATATGGGAGGTACAGTGGTGCCTCGCAAGATGATTGCGTCGCGGAGCGAAAAACCCACATGACGATTGGTTTTCACGATCCCTTTGGTGCTTCGCAAGACGGTTTTTTCTATGACCAAGCTTTGCAAGACGGTTTTTTGAGACCAATGCTTTGCAAAGATGAATAAATTTCATTTGTCTTGCAAGGTTCCCTATGGGGACGATTTTTTCACAAGACAAAGATTTTCACGGAATGAATTAAAATAGTCTTGCGAGGCATCACTGTATATATACCATGTGACTGCAATGCATTTCAACAAAGGTATGGAACATATCATTAGAAGTGGGTAACATTTTCTTGGCCTGAGATGAGTTCAGAAGCAGACCTTGAGGCTCACATAGTCTCTTCATGTTCATAGTGGGCAGTTTCCTTTCTCTCAGCCAAATTTCACAGCCACCCACTCTTGTGTTTCAGTGGCATTATGATAGCAAATGTGGCTGTCTGGATTTTCCAAATCTGACTAGTTAGTTCTCTGTTTCTGCTAGGAGGAGGAGCACATAGTCACATTTCTACTAGCTGTGAAGCAGGGGTGAATAAGAGTCTTTGGCTCCGTACATTTTGGACTACAACTCCAGTCCTGTAGTTGGTGATGCTGATGAGAATTGGCCTCATGATTCCTGAATATTTCTGGATGTAGCTATGGATACTTAGCTATAACATCCTTGGAACAATTCTAACATATAGACTGTCCTTCAAACCATGGTTTTGACTGTCAATAACAAAGAACAGAAGAAACCACAGGTCCAAGTGAATTAAAAGTTCCTCAAACAATTCCCAATCTAATCCTGGGCAGAATCTGAGGAGCCAGGCCACAACTGCCCAGCACTTGGACAAGTTATCATTTTTTTTGTGCTGCTCTTCACAGCCTTGGTCAAGCTGGCTGGGAGATTATGCAAGCCCCAAATGAAGCCTTTTCCAAAACCCTGCAACTGACCTGGCCCTGGTACAATCCACTGTAAGTTGTTTTTATCCTGAAGTGTGTGGAGTTAGGATCTCTTCTCGTGTAGTCTTGTGTCAGAACTGAAATTTTTCCATCAGAAGGAAAGGATTATATATTTGCATTGTGTTTAATCCTGTGAAATGAATGACCTGTAGTGCTCGATTACTTACTCTTATTGTGATGTCTTCAGGATTACCAGAACCATATTTTTCTAGCTTTTCACGGAGTGTCACATTTTAAATTTTAAAAATATGGTGGAAAGTTTATTGAATTCTTCTACAGTTAATTAATAGTGATAGTCATTATTGTTACAGTACTTAGCTATCCATTATTGTTTTTGTAGTTCAGGTTATATATCAAGGAAATAATATATTTATACATTTATTGCAGGTGCTATTTTATCAGATCTAGATCTATTCATAATGACTGAAATTCTGTTGGCATAAAAGTACGCCATACAAGCCAGATACCATCAACATATGGAGCTGGGTTCTTTAATTGAACACTTCCTGTCCTCCATTTCAGGTTCTAAGGCTCTCTGGGGATCATTTTTGACCTGAGGAAACCTTTGGGAGCCTCAGAATCCAGGGGGGGCAGGCTTTTGTATCAAAACATTGCTGCTATATCACTGCTAGTGGTCCTGATTCAGCTAATTGGATATTAAAGTTTTCCCTCCCTCCATCCTGAGGCTCCCAGAGATTTCCTCAGGGTAAAAACGATCCATAGGAAGCCTCCGAACTGAAGGGTGTTTTTTTGGAGGTTTTTAATGAAATTGAATTAAAGATACCTATCACTGGATGATGACATAATCCAGGTTGCATGGAATAAATTTGTGCCAACAGCATTCCAATCAATGTATATTAAACAATTGTACTTTGCATAGATTTCTTCAGAGTATGAATAAATTAATTTTGTCATTCCATTGTTAGACACAGTTGGGTCTAGCCATGTTTAAAATAAACCTGGGCCTATCCCAAGTTTATCTGATTTGACATGAAGTGGCAAAATCAGGCTTGCGAGTAGCATAATGAACAAGGATAAAGCCAAGGGCTCCCCAGGATTAAACAAATGTATGAGTAGGTGATATCTTTTATTGGACCACTAAAAAAAATCAAACAAATTGCAGACACACAAAGTAAGAAAGTTATTATAAACATCTAGTCATTTTCTGAACTTCAGCAGCTGTTTGATGTGCTTGTACCTTTTGTTTGCATGTTATCATGTTTCGTTAATGGGCTGTTGTCTTGCCCTGGAATGAAGCCATGATAAGATATGTAGATTTTGTTTTTAATGCATCTTTTGGCATCCCAAACATTTTACAGCATGTTCCTTTCTTTGCCCAGCAGATGGCAGGCGTGTGCTGGTGGTTCTTCTTTTCCAAAGTCATTGAACTGCTTGACAAGGTAAGTCTGGCTTTAGTAGTCACTTCATTTATTCTGATGCTTCTCAGCCCTTTCCCACGGTTATGTTTTCTCTTCCTTAGGTTCCATACTTTCCAGTTTGCCATGGTTGCTTGTAATTCTCTCCCACATAATACTGTAGCTGTTTAATTAGCACTCTTTTTTTTAATGAAGCATTTTAAGACTTGTCCAGTCTTTTCTTGGTTTTAGTATTTGATTTTCTTAATAATTCTGGTAAACTCTGTTTTGATGCTTTGTTGAGTGGGGAGGATGAAAGAACATCTCCAGAAAGATAACGAGGAGATAGGTTTTGTTATATTATTGTGTTGTTTGTTTTCTTATTATTTAATGCTGTTATTAGTGTTTTATTTTGTTTTAAATGGCCCAGAGTCTCCTTAGTCACCAGATGGTATATAAATGAAACAAAACAAACAAATTTTGCCCACTGTGGTAGCAGTGTGGAGCTTCTCCATACCTTAATCGGTCTTACTTCCTCAAATGCTTAGGAATGAACTAATGAAGTACAAAATTAGGTGATGCAAATTCAAGAGAGGGAGAATTTAAGCCTACATTAGTTTCTCTTCCTAGTTACGTTAACTGAAGAAAAATTCTAGAGAATCATCCAAGTGAAACCTGAAACCATCTCATCACTTACTAAAGCTTAATGTGAATGTCTGTGTCATCTGAGGAAGCCACCTTTGTGTCCGTGAAGGTTCATTCAGTGGGCAAATTCTTTTGTCTCAGTTACTCTGGCACAAATAATTAATTTAAATTAATTGAAAGCGTCTTTACATGCCCCTTTTTCAAAGTTCCAAGTAACTTCAACACTGTCACCCTTTCTTTTCCCTCTGTGCATACTTCTTCTAGCATCTCCCCAGATGAAGAGATCTGGAGAGCCTGAAAGCTTAGACTTTTGGGGGGGGTGGAGTGGGGGGTGGCATTTGTAGATTACTACAGTACTAAAAGTATTATATTGAAATTGATTTTGAAACCTTTGAGGGGAGGGGCAGCAAAAGCACGACCTTTGCTTTTTGTTTGGGTTATAGCCCTAGATTCACCTATTGCAAGTGCACTAGACAGGGTAGGATTAAAAGAGCCGGGGCAATAATGTATGAAAAGATTCAGTTTCTTTCATGTGAAGAACACCTCCTTTGTTGTTAAAATCCAACAGTTCTACCTCTAATCTGATGCACAACGAAACAACCTCACCACCACCATAAAAATGGTTGCACCCTAAGTCACAGAAGTCACATTGCACTAGCCAAAGACATGTGACAGCAAGCCCCAGCCATATTTTTTTCAAAACACCAGCTGTTTCCTTGCCATTTGTATTCTTTAATCTTTCAAATTCATAAATGCTATTCTGTTCTGGCCCTTCAGGTTTTCTTTATCTTGCGGAAAAAGAATGATCAAGTGACTTTTCTACATGTCTACCATCATGGCACCATGCTGTTCAACTGGTGGGCTGGTGTCAAATATGTGCCTGGAGGACAAGGTAGGCCTTATTCCATCAGTTGCTCTCTCTCTCTTTGTCTGGGCTGAAACTCACAATTTTAGCCCACATACACATTTGTCTTTCCACATAGAAGCACCCTAGAATGTCTAGATAAAATGTAGATTCTCAATAAAGGACCAGGATCCAGATAACAAACTGCTTTTTATTATGACAGCCATTTGCTGGAGCAGCTGCCAAAGTAGTAATTGTTTAAAGCAGTCCTCCATCTTATTTTCAACAAGGGATTAGATAATTTCATGGGAAAGAAAGCTTTCAATAACAGCCAAATGGGATGCTTACAGATTCTAAGGCATTGTAAATTTGATCATCACTCAAGGCAGAGGGCTGTGGCTTTTGCCTGTATGTCCTGATTTGGGTTTTCTGGAACCATTTTACTGGTCAGTACTGAAAGCAGGATCCTGATCTAGATGAAGCCTTGATTTAATTCAGCACATTTTCTTCTTATATGCCCTCCAAGCAATTTGGCACAGATATTCTTGTAAATTTGATGAGGGATGATGGCTATGATTGGTGATTTGATTGCTGGGGAATGGAGACTAGCTTGAATGATTTTTAAAGAATGTTCAGAGGGTAGCATTATTCCCAGAGGCAGTCTTGGGTGGGAGAGTAAGGTGGCTCCCCCCAACCCTTTAGGATCCTGATTTAATCATTCAGTCCTAATTAGGAAGGAAATTGGCTAGGCTGCTGTGGAGAACCACACCATGGTCTGAGATGGCAGCAAAGCTTTCAGTGTTATTTTAAGTAGAGATATCTTCCGACTAAGATGAGCTAGATTATGGAGAAAGCCAGCGAGTTCCAGAAAAAAATGATTTTTAAAGAATGTTCAGAGGGTAGTTCAGAGGGTAGAAATATCAACAACCTCCGATATGCAGATGATATGATTCTGATGGCAGAAAGTGAGGAGGAATTAAGGAACCTCTTAATGAGGGTGAAAGAGGAGAGTGCAAAAAACGGTCTGAAGCTGAACATAAAAAAAAAAAAACCTGGCAAACAGAAGGGGAAGATATGGAGTCACCATTTTTGCTTTCTTGGGCTCCATGATCACTGCAGATGGGGATAGCAGCCATGAAAATAAAAGACACCTGCTTCCTGGGAGGAAAGCAATGACAAACCTAGACAGCATCTTAAAAAGCAGAGGCATCACCTTGCCGACAAAAGTCTGAATAGTCAAAGCTATGGGTTTTCCTGTAGTGATGTACGGAAGTGAGAGCTGGACCATAAAGAAAGCAGACCACCGAAGAATTGATGCTTTTGAATTGTGGTGCTGGAGGAGACCTTTGAGAGTCCCCTGGACTTCAAAGAGAACAAACCTATCCATTCTAAAGGAAATCAACCCTGAATGCTCACTGGAAGGACAGATCCTGAAGCTGAGGCTCCAATACTTTGGCCATCTCATAAGAAGAGACGACTCCCTGGAAAAGACCCTGATGTTAGGAAAGTGTGAAGACAGGAGGAGAAGGGGACGACAGAGACAAGATGGATGGACAGTGTCATTGAAGCAACCAACATGAATTTGACCCAACTCCAGGAGGCAGTGGAAGAGAGGAGGGCCTGGCGTGCTCTGGTCCATGAGGTCGTGAAGAGTTGGACATGACTTAACAAGTAAATAACAACATCCTCAGTCTTTCTGTTTTGAGGGTATTTGGGAGAATTCTAATCATAATATTTAGACCAGTTTTTAATTGTCTTATCTGAGGTTTAAGCACCAGCAGAAAATACTGACTGCTCCTGTTTGGAAAATTCAAGCTGACTCTTGCTCTAAACATGAACAGTGCCATACTGAGTTTTGAGGGTGACTGTAATGCTGTGGTCAGCACTATAACATTTCCATGCAGTGAGAAAGCAGTTGGCCCCAATGAGCATTGGAAAGAATTTAAACCAGAATCTAGGCTTCCCCAGCATATATGCACTGCCCCATACTGTGTTCCAGTTCAGTTCCCTGTTCCAGCACATTACAGCAGAAGAAATGGGAGTCAAAACTCAACAGAGATTCCAGCTCCATTTGGCTCCTCTGTCTGGGTCATAGCCACTGGCAACAGCATTCTATCAAACTCTAGCTGAGGAAAAGATGAGAAGAAGAGTACTCTCTGTCATTTCTGTTGGGAGATCAGCTTTTTATTTTTTGGTTTCTCTTCTCCTTGAACAGTATGTCCTGCTAAGACCTTTACAGGATTGCAGATCTACCCAGAACCAGATGAAATGTCAAAGGCTTGTGAACAGACAAATGATCTATGTATACAATTTCAATTATGCTGGGACCAAGATCAGTTTATTGAATCACGGAGTAGCTCCTTGCTTCTCCTGTGTCACTGAGGCAGATTTGCCCTGTCTCACCTGAGTCCGATGGGACAAAGAAACAGAGATGCATAGTAATGGAACTGAAAGACAGATGCATCTATCTAGTGCTGGTCCTGGTCATATCCACATGTTTTTATCCATAGTTCCATTCTAATTTCACATTAATCTGTGATTTATAAAAACAAATGAAGTCCAGACTTTAAAATGCATGGATAAGTGCACATTATCTTCTCAAAATACATTTTAAAATACATATTTGAACAGATTGTTTTTAAATTGCCACAGGCAGTCACAACATAGTGGTGAAATCTGTTGGACAACAGAGTTCAGATACATATATTGGTCAGTAAGTCCTTTTAGGGAGAAAGGTGGGAGAAAAAATATTTTAAATAAATAAATGACAGCCTTTTGTACATAAATTCTGAAGGGCCAGATTCTCGAGGTATCACTTCATTCCGAATTCCTGAGTGAACGTCCTCAGTAGTTTGGTGTGGAAGTTAAAAGCATGAGGCATGATAGGATCCTATGGAACTGTCCAGCCTCCATGCCATGGGGTTAAACAGTTATCCCTCACCAATCTGGAATTGGCTCTGCAGTTAAAAGCAGAACCATCAGAATTCTCCAATTCCTAAGATCCTGTCCAGGTTGATACTATAATAGAAAAATTAAAATCTGTCAACATAACTGAGAGAATTAGGGATCCTCTTGATCTAGCTTCTTCCCAGCACTCATCCATCAGACCAATCTCACTACTGAACATAGTCCTGGAACCAAATTAAAATGGCTTCTGATTTCAATTATGTGTATCAATTTCTGAGCTTCACTCAAAGGGAGGATGCTTATCGCTAAGATGATGTTGGTTGCGTTGTATACGCCTGAAGGAGCACCTACTCCCAAATCAGTCTGATCCTCCAGATGCCCTATTTTTCACTGACTGGGTGATGATTGGGAAGAAGATATGTTTAGTAACCGCCAGTTTGTAGAATTTTCAGCCCCAAATGAAGGCACTTAGTTTTTCCAGCCCTTCTAACAACTGGTGAGATGCTTGTAGTTCTTTATTAGAAGTGGAGTTTTTTTGTTTTTTCAAGCTCCTCTGGAAATCTTTATATTGAAGAACAGTACATATAGAAATAAATAAATAAAACAAATGAAATGAATGAAAATTTCTCCTGATGCCATGTAGTGTTTTCTGGCTAATATAGTCGTTAGTGTGGAGAATTTGTCTTATGATATTCTGCATTCCCTGTGCTTTTCATTCTTGTTTTTCCATACAGCCTTCTTTATTGGGATGGTAAACTCGTTTGTACATATCTTCGTCTACCTGTACTATGGACTGGCTAGTCTAGGACCAAAAGTGCAATCCTACTTATGGTGGAAACGTTACCTCACTCTCCTGCAATTGGTAAACTGTCTTCCCTTCTTTTGTGGAACTGACTGTAAGGCGATCCTTAGTTTTTATATGTTGTTGGGACTCTGGCTTATGAAAGTAAAAAGCCACTCCAAGTATAAAGCACAATCACAGATGTTTTGCTGTGGATGGCTGGTGAGAAATTCTGTGACTTCTTTTGTAGTGCCATCAGATATGAAGTGGAGTCTGATTAGTTTATATCAATGTAGGTGATGGTTTGAGGCAGCTCTAGAATCAGAAACCACCCCCTTGTTTCCCCCAGTCTTTGTTTCTTTAAATCTTCCTATTTCTTATGCACTTCATATCTTCATAGAGTTGTGTACAGACTGTCACACAGGCCCCTAAATCCCTACATTCTTTATGACTGGAAATGAATTGTGCATGCACGTACATAATAGACTTGTTTACTCTGCACTTGAAACCACTGAAAATCATTCCATTTGATATATGAAAAAATCATTCCATTGCCTACCACCAACATTTTACTCATCAGGTAGGGAGAAGCTCAGCAGGTAGATCTTCCACCAGCATTGGGAAATATGAACGGCACCTACTAAATGGCCAGCTGTTTTGTAGCTGAACTATAGACATAGGTACTGCTTTCATCATCATTCGCTAAGTAATTAGACCTACTAAATTTGTATTTGTCCTGACAAAGAGTCATTGGTCTGCACTTCATATGAGGAAATCAGCAGTCTCTTCCCTTGATAAAAGGGAAACTAAACAGCAGCACCAAGAAAGTCATTCTCCGATAGAAACAGGCACATGACTGCTCCTAGGGAAACAGGGTGCATGTAGCAAATAGGCCCATATTACCACAGAGGCATAAGTTGAATTATTGAAGACTACTGGTTGCCTTTTATTCTTTTCTGAGCCAGGAGGAGAGCAAGGGTCAGATTTCAACAGATTTTTAACATGAATTCTTCTCATTTCCAGCATGGGGAAGAATGGCTAGCCACTGTTCACTCTCTCACTCTTTTCTAGAAAATGACTCATGAATGAAAGGATGAGAGAAATAAAGTAGAGATGTTCACTTTTGTTTATACGATGTAACCATTGTGATTTTGGGAAGCCAATTCTAACTTGGAAGTGATACGCGTGAAAAGGACCTGGAGGTCTTAGCAGATCCGAGTTAAACAACACTGTTTATAAATACGAATTTCCCCACACAGGTGGAAATAATGAGGGTCCAGCCCATTGGGGCTAGATTGTCCACTCATGATTTCACCGCTGCCACGGGCTCCACAGAGGCTTCCTTTCATGCTGTTCTCTGCAGTGGATTAGCCACTCTCCGACCTAGCAGAGGCTTTTCATCCCGCCTCCTGCCAAGACTGGGCAATCGATTGAGGACAACTGTGTGATAGGAAGGTCTGCCAAGCTCTTGTCAGTGGCAAAATCATGAGTGGACAGTCTGGCCCATTGGGCTGGACCCTTATTATTTGCACCTGTGCAGGGATATTCGTATATGAATGCAAACACCCCCATCTCTAACTGCAACAAGAAAATCAAATGCTGTGCTAGAATATATCAGTAGAAGTGTCCAGATCAAGGGAAGTAATAGTATCACTCTATTCTGCTTTAGTCAAACCTCACCTGGAGTACTGTATTCTGTACTGGGTGCTACAGTTTAAGAAAGATATTGAGAAACTGAATTCTGGCCGATCTGCCCCACCGGTGGGAAAAGGCAGCAATATATGCTTGTCCTGCTTTGGAAGTCATTTATTCTGGGATGGATTTCCCACCACTACGGTTTCTGCTATTT